AGATTATTATGTGCGGAGTGCGGACGAGGAGAACCGTTCACACAATTATTGGGTACCTAGTGGTACCCGCACTCGATACAAGTGGGTACCACTAGGTACCCAATATTTGTGCGGAGTGCCAATATTTGTGCGGACAGTGTGCACTCCGCACCTAATAATTTTTCCACATTTAAAGTATACAAAACCGTTTGGTGCATTAATACGTCAAATATTTTAACAAATTGACTCATTTTTAAATTTTTTAATAAATTTACTATTCTTACTTATTCTAGTTATTAACATATTACTTCATAAAATTAACAGGTGGACGCGTGTGGCTGAAATTAAAGGAGAGCTGTGGGTCCCACCAATGTCTGCCACAGTGCCACCTAATAAGTATTAAGTGTGAAAATAATTACAAAGAACCGGTCCACATTGCACGCCTGTTTGTGGTCAAGCCAAAGGGCTGCTGCAGCATCCAAATTCATTTGTTCCTCATGCTTTTTTATTCCTACTATTACTATGTTTCGACAAAATTTGTCACACTTCTTCACGGTTAATCTAAAAAAAATCATAATCTGCTAGCTGTATGTTAATTTAATATTAAATTATTATTAAAATATTTTAAATTAAACTTTTTTTTTTAAATAACTCACAATAAGTGATGAAATTCACTCATGCCTCTCTTTCCAAGTTAGGGCCCCACAAAGTAAACTTCGTTTTGAATAATTTTCTTACTTTTTTTGGAAAGGGATAATCATCCGTTACTACCCCCGAAAAGGTGTTTAGCGACGTGACTAATCTTCGGAGTACCTAGAAGAGGCACCCACCTCAGAAGCCTTCTGACCAGCACTTGATTGGGCCCCATTTAGAACTTTTATTAGGTCCTCTGACCGGATGTAGCTCTACGTTCGGTCATCACTGAGTTACTCGATTTTTGCTCGGTATTGCTAGGTATTCCTTGACAATAACGAGAAATACCGCTCCGTGAAGACCAATACCGAGTAATACCAAAAAATACTGAATTTTTTCTAGAAAAACTCGGTATTTTTTGGTATTACTCGGTATTTGTCTTCACATAATGATATTTCTCGTTATTGTTGGTATTGCTCGGTATTTCTCGTTTTGTGCCTGCTACGTGACGCGATCTCAGTGCCGGCCGAACGTAGCTCTACGTACGTTCACCGGACCAAATAAAAGTTCCCATTTAAGATGCACTGCCGCTCGAAGGGAATCGAGCACGGGTTGGAGGGTTCCCAACCGTACTCGCCCACCAACCAACGGTGGATTTCTTACTAATTTTAAAACCAACTTTTTAGTACAAATTTTTTAAAATTAGAAAGTTTTATACTAAAAAATTATTTTAAAAAATAATTAGAAAATTATCCCAAATAAAATCAAAATTTGACAAATATGCTTGCTAAGCAATAAGTGGCATGTGATGATTGACGAATGGACTCCCCGATTGACTAGAGTAACAAGAGACAAGTGCACCTCGTCCTTTGACGAGTGCATCGGATCGGGTCGGGCCACTGGTATATTTAGATATATATAGTCAGGTGTCAATACGATCACAATAAAACAATAATCTTATTATACAACTAATAAACTAAAAAAATCATTTACATTTCACAAATTAATAATAATAATAAAAAACCTTATTAAATTCATTTTTTTGATGAACAGCAATTAATATGCATTAAAGTCCGCTATGAGAATGGGAAGGAAGTGAAACGGGCGGTTATGAAACGCTCTACTGTAACTGCTCGGCTAGTGTTTCTTTAGTACAGAGCCAATAGGAATCGGAACAGAAACGCTTGAGCAAAAATATTTTGGTGAAACGGATGAAGCAACTAAAACGTTGGTGTTTGGATATAAAATTAAAATTATTAATGATCAAAGAAATGTTATGAAAAAACTTAAAAATAAAGAATATGAAGAGCCATAAATGAATGGTGTAGATTTAATTTTATGTTTACAAATAAACAATTAGGATTTGCTAAGAGTGGAATGCCAAACCGTTTTTATATAGTAGTGTAGATTAATAATAAAAAAAATCTTATTAAATTCATTTTTTTTATGAACAGCAATTAATATGCATTAAAGTCCGCTAATTCAAAATTTAAAAGAGATGCCTCAATCATTTAAAAAAAAAATCAAACCCTAAGAACAATTAATAAATAATTAACCATAATTAATTAACTATAATGTTTAATATTTCATATGCAGATCATGTCTAATATTTTATAAGCCATCAAATTTCTCACGATAGTTTTAAATTAATCTCATCAATGATGAAATCGGTCAAAAAGTAAAAAAAAAATATGCGATTCTTCAACATATGCTTCACGTCATTCATGCGGATAAATTATAAAAACAAAACAGTGAAAATTTCTAATTTTTAACAAATATTTTAATTAATTAGTTTATCTAAAAAAAACCTACGTTGAACACATGTAAAAGGTTAGTTTGATAATGACAAAATTATTTATTTTATGAAAATATATTGAGTAAATATATTAAATAGAGGATAAGAGTATCATTGTGAGGGAAATTTGTTGAAATTTTGGATCAAATTTTTTTTTTTGGAAAATTAAGAACGATGCCCAAACATGCGAGACTCAAATTCATGACCTTTTAGACTTCGTTTTGGAACAGCTTTTTGCTGCTTTCTAAAATAACATTTTAGTACAAAAATTTATTAAATTAGAAAATTGTATACTAAAAAGCTGTTTTAGAATGCTGCCCCAAAACAAAATCTTAGTTTGGAGTCAAACACCCAACCAACAAATCAAGGAGATCTGCATATTGAAAACTATTTGGAAATGCATTCGCTGGTTTTTTAAGCTCTGTGCGAGCGTCCAATCGAACAACAAATATAAACACATTTTTTTTTGCAAAATTATTTATTTTATGAAAATATATTGAGGAGTAAATATATTAAATAGAGGATAAGAGTATCATTGTGAGGGAAATTTGTTGAAATTTTGGATCAAAATTACTTTTTTTTTTGGGGGAAATTAATAACGATGCCCAAACATGCGAGATTCAAATTCATGACATTTTAGGCTTCGTTTTGGAACAGCTTTTTGCTGCTTTCTAAAATAACATTTTAGTACAAAAATTTCTTAAATTAGAAAATTGTATACTAAAAAGCTGTTTTAGAATGCTGCCCCAAAACAAAATCTTAGTTTGGAGTCAAACACCCAACCAACAAATCAAGGAAATCTGCATATTGAAAACTATTTGGAGATGCATTCGCTCGTTTTTGAAGCTCTGTGCGAGCGTCCAATCGAACAACAAGTATAAACACATTTTTTTTTTTGTTTTACCTCGATTGTGAACAGTACGACGACAACAGTGGCGTAACATTATTCACAAACTCTTTTTTTGTTCGAAAATAGATGTAAAAAATAAAGACTAGAAAGAATATATACAAAATATTCTTTTTATATATTAGAAATATAGTTCGACTAGAAATGAATTGCTATTTTATATAATTATTACTGTATTTTAAAGTGAAAAATATATTTTTTTATTGGAAATATCCTAAGAATTTGACACAATGGATAATATTACCTTGAAATATATTAGAAGGAGAAATGCTAAAATTAAAATAAATTAATTGGAGATATAAAAAAAAATTGTACAAGATCTACTAAATTCTAATGCAACATTGAAAATGAATGAATGATAGTGCAAAGAATTAGAAGTTCTTGATCAATGAGGGATCCTATGCAACAATTAATTTGAAAATTTTATGAATTAAATTTATGATCACCATTTCATTAAATTTATAATTTAAATAAATGTCATGATGAGATAAGTCCAACAATAATAAAAATATTTTGATCTGAATCTAAAAGAGCCGAAATCGAACAATTAAAAATAGTTAAAAATTTCGTAATATTAATTGAAGGATGAAATTATTTCAAAATCTTGTAGGGCTTGTAGCAAAATGCAATGGCTAAAAAAAAAAAAAAAAAAAGGAAAAAAAACCTCGTTGTCTTCTGTCCTAATACATACAAAGATTGCTCTGTGCATTAATTAGAAGTATATGAGCAGTTGTTTTTGTTGCTGCTGTCTCTGTAGCTCCAAAGCCCAAACTTCAAGGAGAGATCGCCGGTCGCTCTCCATTTGAATGTTCAGCGATGAGCATTGATCGGGCTACCCATTCTCGAGCGGTTGGCGATCGGCTCTTCTCTTATAGGGACCAAGCAGGAAGCATTGAGCCTCTTCTGCGATTGCTCCCTGCTTCGCTCTTAGCTTTTCTGTTCTTTGAGATGGGAATTCTCCTGAGAAAGGCTGAAATCTCAACAACCGTTTCGTTTGATTAATCCTGAGCTCATAAAGTTTGCAGCTTGGGGCTTTGAGGTGTTTCGGGGTTTTGGGCTGAATTTGTAGGTTGCTGTTCCTCATCTATTGGATTCGGCATATGCGTGTGAAGTACTTTTTTGTCCTTCTAAAATATCGGTTCTATTGCGGCATTTAGTTTAATCAGGTGGCCTATGTTATGTTGGGGGTTTAGGTTTGGAGTTTGAGGGCGGTTTTGTCGATAGTGAAATCTGAGGTTTTGGATGGCGTCAGTGCCGGTGGAAGAGAGTGATGGCAGAGGAAGCATGTGGGATTTGGATCAGAAACTTGATCAACCCATGGATGAAGAGGCTGGCAGGATTAGGAATATGCATTGTGAGAAGGTTATAGCTCTTTTTCAATTTGTAGTTTAGCTGCTCCTTCTGGGTTGAATTTTTATTCTTTTTAATTTCAAGCTTTCTTCATTGATATGAACCTGTATGGTGTTTTTTTTTTCTCTGAAGAATGCATCTATTTTTTCGTCGAATCGTATTTCTTGTTTGCTCAAAGTTTTTTTCTTTATTGTTTTATACTTGTTCTTGTTGCAGGTTGTGTTGTCGATAATATAAATTCTTGGAGTATTTCAGTTAGAGATTTAATGAATTTTCAAGAACTTGATTGCAATTTTTGTAGCTTGTTTGGTCAATATCTTGCTGAGATTGTTGAACTTCTTTTTGAGTCCTTGAGATAAATTTGCCCCTCTAGTTAAATTCTTAGACTGGGATCTTCTCATTTTAATGTGAACCACCATTTTACGCATTGGTCATGAGATTTTTTTCGTCATATCTTTCCGATAAGTGAATATTACAGCTCTATAGAAAGGAATTATTTTACTGGGCTGGAGTTCTTTAAGCATTCATATCATCTTTTATGAAATCTAATTTTCGGCAATTTTTTATATCATCAAAATTGGTAAAACTTTATGTTTCTTTGTTTAAAACAATAATAACTTTCAATTATGGTTCTTACTGCTGGAAAACAAAAGGCTAGTGGCTGCCATGTTGAGATGTATCCAAACTGGAGCTATTGAAATGGATCTATAGTAAAATTAAGAATCCAAGAATTAGAAATGATTATATTAGAGTGGCCATAGAAGTGACAACTATTGAAGAAAAAATTGTGAAAATATATTTAGGAAATTTGAACATGTACATTGCAAAAGAATCACCAATAATTGGTAATTATTTTAATGTGAATGGAAAAGGTAGCACTAAAGTTGAGAAGACTTGAAGTTGTCAAAGAAGTCTTCCATAAACTAGAGTTACTGGTCATTGTAGCACATGACAAGAATGAGTAATGGCAAGCAATACATAAATTCAGTTCAAAATTGTTGGAATAATGCTAATGAGACTAACTTTAGTTTGTGTCATTTGTATGATAAAAGATAAAATAATACTATTTCTTCTTGTTATGTTTGGAATAAATAAATTTATATTTATAAGTTAATATTCCTAAATTTTTTTTTGCAGAAATTCTCCTCATTGTTGCTTCTAAGGCTAGCATTTCAGAGCTTAGGGGTGGTATTTGGAGATTTGGGCACATCTCCTTTGTATGTTTTCTACAATACATTTCCTCGGGGTGTAGGCAATGGTGAAGATGTTATTGGAGCTCTTTCTCTGATTATTTATTCTATAATACTTATCCCACTCCTCAAATATGTTTTTGTGGTGTTGAGAGCAAATGACAATGGTCAAGGTAAAGTACTAACATTATTATTATAAACAAATTTATCTTTAATTATTTTTTCCATCTCTCAAATGCTCAAGAAGAAACGACATCAGATCATGAAGAATAATACTTCAACTAAAACTGCAAATCCAGTCTAGGAGAAAACATGTAAAGCATGCTTGCTTTCAAAAAAAAAAAAAATCTTTGATTTTATGAATTATGCATCTGATGATAGACAATAAAACTATCGAAACTTCAATGTCAAAATCCCCCAAATAAACCCTGAATGTTCTAGTGATTGATTTAATGTAAAATTTGAAAACAAAATGGATAACCGGTTAAATTTAGAGGCATCTTCAATTAGTTCATTTCACCTTTGAAAATAACTTATTTTCTATTAAAAGATGTTTATGTTCTTTAGAACCTAGTCAACATCCTGTAGTTGTTACTTTTCAAGCCCTTTGGAATCATACCTTTTGTCAAATACATTGCTTTAAAAATGTGCCAATTTTCAATCGTCCATTTTACCTCTATAAATGAATTATTTCCCGTTAGAACTCAGTCGACATCCTTTAGTTGTTACTTTTGGAGACCTTTGCATCATATTTTTTGTGAAGCACATTGCTTTATATGATGATTGCTGAATATGCGCCCTTCTGATTTAGATTTTTAGAAAGCTTTGTGCTATTTTTGGCCAATATGTGAGATAATCAGATAATCATGAACATTGTTTTTCCTAATGGTGTTGTTATGGTTAGAAATTAGAAAAAGTTCTACTGGAAGCTGCATTCTCACCTGACAAGTTTATATGGTCTCAACTCACTATTAATTTTTAGCATAGTATCCCAATATAAACATAGGCGTGAAATGCCCAAAGACCTTAATCTCCATTTGGCAAGAATAAGTTCTATTTTTCCTTCAAGCAATATGAGCTTGTATACAAAATTGACATTGACTAGGGGATCTGGATAAATAATGAATTATAATTTGTACGGAAAACTGGACAGTTAAAGTAAATAGTTCTCACAAGTTACAGAATGACATGCTTGAAATTGGACAAAAAAATATCAAGTTTCACAACTATCTTTCCTGAAAGAAAAAAAAATCTGGAAATTTTTGACTAAGTCCTTTTATCCATGCTGTTTCCAGAGACTGATATCAAGACAGCTTGGTAGTATGAGAGATGAAACCACCCTTAATGCTACTAGTTGTCTGGTATGATGGATGTTTGAAATTGGTTATGCACAAACAAGTATGGACTGCTTTTAAAATTAGAAAAATGTGGGCGTACTTTTAGAAAAAATGTTTGAAGTTGAGTGTGTTGAAGATTAACTTTATCTTGTAGCTAGTATTGGACTTCATTCGTAGTTGTAAATGTAAGAGAGTCGTGAAACTTACTCATTGCTAGTGATTGTCCCTGGATTTAAGCACTGCATAGTTTATCTTTTCGGTTTTATAAATCGTTCATGATACATGATTGTACTAAATGCAAGTTTTTGTAAGCTACAAATCAAGTATATTTTAATGTTTTAGTCTAGGAACCGATAATAGCAGTGTGTTGTGAGCACCTTAAGTATCAACGACATACTTTATTGGCTCTCATCTGGTTTTCTCCTCGGTTCACAGTTTTTGATGGGTTACTTTTGTGCTTATCCTAATCAGCTATATCTACATACAGGCCTCAAAATCTTGACATATACTTCTGGGACCCTTGAAACACCTGCAGCTATTTGCATGTTCACAACTTCCAAATTTACTTTTACGGTCAGTAAGTTTTGATCATTCCGATGAATTCCAAGTATATATGAAACTTAAGGGGGCTCAATCTGGTTTGAAAATTCAGCCAATCCCATCTAATGCATTCTCAAGCGAACTCCAAAAATAATAGAAAAAAAAGGACAAATCTTGTAAAAACATATCCATTAAAGAAACATTATGCATTTCTTAAGTACTTAAATATTTTGAGATTGAATCTTCATCTTTATTTAGCATCTTTAGAAAAATAGTCATGTAAGCTCAAACAATGAATAGGATATTTAGAGATTTTTGTTTTAAATGTGGAATACATGGTGGTTGGAGAGTAAAAATGTAATTGCCAACTTCTGAGTGCTATAGATGTAAGCTAAAAATAGAATTTTATTTTTACTGTTTATATTCCATAATGCAACGATAATGATGATATCAAACTATAATAGTGACAACATGAAACAAAAATGGATATTTTCAATTTACCAAGTTCTTCTATGATGTATTAGACCGTATCACGTATCCCTTGTCATTCAGTTCAACAAAGAAATTGAGGTGAAAGCTTTCTGTTTTTCTATTACTTCATTGGTTCAGCAATGAAATTAAGGTGAAAGCTTTCTGTTTTTATATACTTCATTGGTCTTAAGAGTGGTAAACGGGTATTTGATAGGAAACACTTGGATCCCCAAGTGTTTCTCACCGAAACTGAAGTAGATCCAATGATATACTGCTGTCCACAGCAGAAAAACAGCAAAAACACCAAGAAAACTGAGAGAAAACGTAGGAAATTTGTAGAAAAACGATGCAAACACTTTTATTTCAATAGAGGATTAAAAGCACTTGCAAGATACAACTTTCCTTCAATTCGAGAGGAAGGAAAAACTCTCCAATGATCTCCGGCAAAGCCAAGAGCCCAAGAACACCAAACCCTAGATCTCAAAAATAATTTAAATTCAAGATGCCTCCAAAACTCCCCCTCATCTCTAATTAAAGCAAAATACCTAATTAGCCCCTAATTCAAATAATTTCCCTCCCAAACATTAAAACAGCCCATAGAGGGCCCCACCTAAGCTCCGCCCCCTCCCCTGGCCTGCTTCCGCCGAACATAGACCCGGACCGGTCCAGGTTGGACCGGTCCAGCCGGTCCCTCCTGGGTCGGCATAACATTACCGCCCTCCCAAAGAATCACCTTGTCCTCAAGGTGAAAATCTGGAAACTGATGTTTCGTCCTCTCGAATGGTTCCCACGTAGCTTCGTAGTCAGGGAGGTTCTTCCACTGGATCAACACTTCCTTAGTTTCATCTTCTTTCTGGCGAACACCCCTTAGCTCCAAAGGCTCCATGATCACTTTCAAATCCTCTGTAAGTGTCGCCGGTAGCTCGGGAATGGTGATGTGATCACCAATGGCCTTTCTTAATTGTGAGACATGGAAAACCAGGTGTATGGTCGCCGATGGGGGTAATTTCAGTCGATATGCTACTGCCCCAATCTTTTCCATCACTTCATAAGGACCAAAGTACCTTGGGGCCAACTTTTCATTCCTTCTGTTGGCGACTGTCTTTTGCCTGTATGGACGGAGCTTCAAGAACACCTTATCTCCTGCCTCAAACTGGATATCTTTTCTATACCCATCTGCTTGCTTCTTCATGATATGTTGCGCCCTTAGCAAATGCCTCTTTAACTCCTCTAGCACTCGGTCCCTCTCCTCCAAGTACTCTTCTACAGAAGAAACAAGACTACTACTGCTTCCAAAGTGTACCAAGTGTGGGGGATCCCGTCCGTACAACACCTTGAATGGGGTCATCTGTGACGCTGAATGAAATGAAGTGTTGTACCAGTATTCATCCCAGGATAGCCACTTTGCCCAAAGCTTTGGCGTCTCTGACACAAAGCATATTAGGTATGTCTCCAAGCTCCTGTTGACTACCTCCGTCTGGCCATCCATCTGTGGATGGTAGGCTGTGTTTCTCTTGAGAACTGTCCCATGCAATCTGAATAACTCTCTCCAGAAATGGCTGAGGAACACCTTGTCCCTATCTGATATAATTGCCTCTGGCACTCCGTGTAACCTGATCACTTCTCTGATGAAGGCTGATGCGACTGTGACTGCGGTGTAAGGATGTCGGAGGGGAATAAAATGGGCATACTTGCTCAACCTGTCCACCACCACTAAGATCACCGTGAACCCTTCTGAACGAGGCAGCCCATCTATGAAATCCATAGATATCTCCTCTCATACTCTACCTGGCAAAGCTAGCGGCTGTAGTAATCCTCCTGGTGACATAGCTAGATACTTACTCCTTTGGCAGACCTCACATCTGGCTACCATCTCCTCTATATCTTTATGTATCCCTTTCCAGTACAGCTCTCCGGCTAGCCTCCTATAAGTCTTCTGCACGCCTGAATGGCCCCCCACGGCACTCCCATGGAACTCCTGGAGTAGGTTTGGGATGTGAATTGATGTCCGGGGCATCACAAATCTTCCTTGGTATAGCAGTTTGTCTCCCTCCAGTGAGTACCCAGGGTGGCTACCTGGTTCCTTCAGTAACTCAGTCCTGATCCTTCCCAAAGTTTCATCTCTAGCACTTTCTTCTATGATGGCCTCCCAATCAAGCATCAAATGGACAGACAGGGCCACTGTCTGCAACTCCCCCATGCCCCTGGACAAGGCATCTGCGGCCTTGTTCTCCACCCCCGGCCGATACTGAATCTCAAAGTCGTACACAAGTAACTTGGACAGCCATCTCTGATGCTCTTCCGTCACCATGTGTTGTTCCAACAAGTACTTCAGGCTTCTTTGATCTGTCCTGACAATGAAATGCCTCCCTAGGAGGTAGGGTCGCCATTTCTGGATTGCCAAGACGATGGCCATTAATTCTCTTTCATATACTGATTTCAGCCTGGCTCTGGCAGTAAACACCTCGCTGAAATAGGCGATGGGCCTACGACTCTGCATAAGAACTGCTCCTAGCCCATAGCCTGATGTATCTGTCTCCACAATGAAGCTCTGAGTGAAGTCTGGCAAAGCTAAGACCGGCACCGTCGTCATTGCCTTCTTCAAGTTCTCAAACGCTGATGTGGCCATTTCCCCCCATAAGAAACCATCCTTCTTCAGCTGTTCCGTGAGTGGCCAGGCTATAGTGCTGTATCCTTTCACAAACCTTATGTAGTAACCTGTTAGTCCTAGGAATCCCCTCAACTCCTTCAGGTTCTTTGGCACTGGCCACTTGAGCATCGCCTCAATTTTGGACTGATCTGCTGCTACCCCGTCTTTTGATACC